GACAGATACACACACACATAGGCATTATAGCTGAAATGCTGCAGATCGTAGTTTAAAAGATCAGAGCGCTGCTGTTCGATCTCTTTCAAATATTGTCTCTTAATCGGCTTATAAGATTTCTGCAAGAAGAAAAAGTAGGTACAGTTTTTTTGAGGGGGGAAATCATCGAATGACTTCTCCCGCCCGGGTGAGGCAAAAGGGAGTGTCAGACTCTTACTGACTAAAAACCACCCCGTTCCTTATCCTGTACTTCGAGCCGAAGCCTCGGTAACCCGTTAGATTCTTCGCGACTTCGAATCGGCATCAGCCCTATTGGGCCCCATCCGTGGTGGTCTAATGGCTCTTTGAGGCGCGCGCGGGACGGGACGCACCGTACGCTTGGGAAGTAGGTACGGTGGAGTGATGATGAATATGTGTCCTCCTGTCCCACGACAGTATAATAACAGGTCAATATTTATCGCTCGCTTTGAATTTCATCATCATCATCTTATAAGTGGCGACTGCTGACCAAAGGCCCCTTCTTACACGGAGAAGGTTTGAGCATAATCACCACGCTTGCTCAATGCGGGTTGGCGATTACAAAATTATAATTAGAAATTATAAGTCCAGGTTTCTTCACGATATTTTCCTTCACCGTTTGTCAGTGGTGTCAAGATAATCTTAGAAAGTACATATAACTCGGAAAAAGTCACATTGGTTTGTCATTGGTAGGTTTCAAACCCGCACCCTTATACATGAGAAGCGGGCGTCTTAACCACCGGGCCACCACGACACTTGAATTTAAGACTACGAAAATAGATAAAGAACAGATTGTATTGATAGATATAAGAAGTATGAAAAGAACTTTAATCTCCACAACACAATAGTTATTGTAGTTTATTAAAATGAATAAATAACCACAAAAATTTAATATCGTTTCCTATACTTAAAGAATAGGCAAAGTTCAAATATGTCTTGTTAATTATCACAGTCCTTAGAAGACTAGTTTTGTTGATCGGCTAATGGTTTCCACCGTCGGACGCACAGGTGTTAGAACATTATTTGCATAGTTTTCTAACACTGCTATCAATTCATTAAGCCCGTATCTGGATAGTGTGAAACAAGGAGTATTGGTTTTAACACTTTATGTTTAACGAATGTCATACATGTATACCCGGGTGAGGTCAAGGACTCATGTTTTTGCACGTGAGTGTACTACGGTCACGTTTACCGACATGCGTAGGGCTGATAGGATTTATTTGTTAAAAAAATAATTTTATTTTTTAGTTTTTTTTTTATTTATTACCCATAAAAATTATTTAATATATTTATTTTTTATCGATTTAAGTATGCTAGTTTTATTAGGTAATTAACACATTGAAAACAGTTCATGTTTTAATAATAAATAAAAAGGACAATGAAAATGCTTCAAACATCCCTTCTATGTACATGTTTTTGCGCCTGACTGTAGTTGACGATTGATTTACATAACATTCAATGTACTTGTGACCTCCAGCTAACATATGCATGTACATATTGACCATATACTTTGGTCTATCACTTAGAACTATTTATATTATTACTGAGCACTTTATCAATGGATAGTTAGAACAAAAAGGTATGCGATAATTAAATAATAAATATAAAGCGGCTATTTTTATTCCTATCAGACTTTTCGGTACATACCAAATGCAGTTTTTGTTTTAATGTAGGAGAATAAAGAAACAAAATGTTCGGTATTATTGTGAGGTTAAGAGAAAAGGCCCGGTGTATTTGTAACAGCATAAGAATGCTTCGAAAAATAAAATAGAAAAAACCTAATCGTCACCTATCTAAGGAAAGAAGTAAAACATCTTGATAATGAAGCCCCAAGCTTCATTTTCAAGATGTTGTTACGTTTTACTTTTTTTTTCAACAATAGAAAACCGTAGACTTTCCATTGTTTTTCTAGACAAAACCTTGCGAAAAACGACACAACTAAGACGTAAGCTGAACAAATTTCATTGACACATTTAAATTTTTCTTAGAATCAAGCGTCTTCTAGGACAAAACAATCATAAAGTTTCTAGAAAATAATTAGGTACACATAACAACCGTTTTACGAGAGGTTCACATTAAGCTATAAAATCCATAATATTGTGTGCCTACATAAGTAGTTATTTAACATTCAATACATCGAATGTTTGACTACACAGTACGCCAGTTACGTGATAATAGACAAACAGTAGGCGGCAGTTTAGAATAATATGTGTTTAGTAGTCTACTGCGTGGTTTTGGGTAAAAAATGCCGATTTCAATATTATTTATTATGAATTTCTCCTTTACATAAAGGATTCTGGTACTGGAAACCGCTAAGGAGTTCCCGCAACTATCGTACTACTTCATCATCAGACTCTTATTGACAACCACACCACACCTAGGTGTACAGTCCTCATCAATACAAATTAATCAAACCCAAACACAAGATAGCTACTGTTAACCGTTGAGGATTTCCCTCAACTATCGCACTACTTCAACATCATATCAACAACTTATAATGCCCACTGCTGAGCAAAGCCTCTTCCCACACGGAAAAGGTTTTGAGCATTAATCACCACACTTACTCAATGCGGGTTGGCGATTTCAAACTTATAATTAGAAATTATAAGCCCAAGTTTCTTCACGATGTTTTCCTTCACCGTTGGTCAGTGGTATCTGAATAATGTTAGAAATTATTAGGTTAGTAGGTTTCGAACCCGCACCCCTTATCAAACCCTAGGTGTAAAGTCCTCATCAATACAAATTAATCAAACCCAAACACAAGATAGCTACTGTTAACCGTTGAGGAGTTCCCTGGAATGGCTCTCAGCTTATCTCATCATGAGATTATCTCCAGACCTTCATCAAATTGTAGTGGTTTTAAATACTTAATCAAAAAAATCCCCTTATAATTTTTTTAAAGTTTCCTTCGGTTCCCCTGGGATTCCACCATCAGATCTTGACTTGATGACAATGGAACCAAATGACAAGAGTACCCTTTCAAATAAAAGAAGAATTTTTGAAATCGGTCTTGGCATCTTTATGCAACATAAAAAAAATACAGTCGAATTGAGAACCTCCTCCTTTTTTTTGAAGTCGGTTGATAACATTTGTTTTTGACCATCACCGGCGTCGGCGCTTTCCGGAAGCATTCCTAACAACCTGTATAATACAATTATTTATTTATTATTAGTAATTATAACATAAGATGCTATCGCCTAAAAAATCCGAGTGGGTATCAAAATAAATAATATTGTTTTATGATTTTTCAAATATCTTTGGCGGCCCTATTCGAGAGCACGTGTATTTTACCGGACCTAATACAACATTTTGCGAAAATTTCGGTACACAAATACAATATATTAATTATGCTAATAGCTAATTCTATTGTGTCTAGTAATAAGTAAATTATTACTCACTCAAAAATTCTAAAAATTCCGCTTTTTTGAGCTCTGAAAATACTGATATGTACGTACAAGTTCGACGAAGATATTGCCTCTCATTTTGCAAATATACTTTGCCTCCTACCTGGTGGTATGGATAGTGGTCCATCAGGCATCCTATTTGCTTTGTTGCTTCTAATAGATAGTAGTAAAAATTCACCTAATTATACTCGTATTCTATTTGATAACACATTAATATTATACGAGAATACTGAGGTATTTTTTAAGCACCGGACTATCTGCTTCGTTACACTATGAAACGTAAATCAAACTTAAGAACTTTCTTAGCATTCGCAATCTTGGTTATTAGACGAATAAAATTTGCTTGGAGAAATATCATTGAGTTGGATTTATCTCAATCACTTGATCGTTTGTTTACTCAAACACGTTTTGCATCAGCTGTTCCATCACCTACTTAGTTAATTACAATCGATATCCGCTAAACAATGCGTAAACCAATTATATTCCTTTCAACGTATATTACTATAATTACATTAATTTTCCATGTTCAGTACCTACGCGTATCACAGAGTGGTGGGAAAACTCATTATTAGCAGTTGTTTAACCGCAGGCAACCAGCATTTGTGAGAACTAAATTGCAGGGCATAGTGAAAACAAAGTTCAATATTTTTTATCCTGTGACATTTAGTTCTGTTTAATTGCTCTGCAACTGGTTTGACAGGTCTTCGGGTAAATACTGCTTTCAATATTTGCTATGTATTATGGTGTCAAAGATCATATGGAAGTAAGGTAGGTATACTTTGAGATGGGAAATTCTTTGATCTCATTTTCTTTTTTGTCATCTGTAAACACGTGCTGTCTATCGTCATTATAATTTATGACGGTGCACTGTCAAAGTATGATAATCCTCTATAAAGAAAATTATCCTTGCTTTTACTCTATCTTGGTGAACAATCAGACAGTGGAATCATTAATGGTTAGATACTAATTTAAAAGAAAACAAGTTTAACCTGTAACAGTCCATTCATAAGGTACAAGTCTTTCTCAATAAGAGTAATGTCCTCAGTTACCAAGCTGAGGTAGCGGGTTGCTGACCGCAAAGCCTATCGTTCATACATAAAATAATATAATTTTATGCAAACATCAAATTCAAGTATTGTATTTCATTATACCACCTCATCTAAATTACCGGTTATGTCGTCATCTCTTTTTATAAAATAATATTCTGAATTCCTAATAGAAATTACATCATGCCAGATAAAATAAAAATAATTGTATATTGTATTAAGAAATATTTATTTAAAAATATAAATATAAATCTATCTAAATAACAATTCGCTTACACACTGCTAATACTAGAAGGCCATCTCGACAGCATCGCAACTTTAACATAAAATCACCAAGACCTTCACAATGTTGGAAACTCAATACAATCAAAGAAGCGAAAACCTACTTAAGTTCCTTGTAAAACCAAGGAATAACAATATCATACATGGTTCCGAAACTCTGCTCAGTACAGTTTCGAATATCAGTCGAGTAACACAACTGTCACAATAATTTACAAACAATACTGCTATGACTGTACCCTCAAGGGAATGCCTATAGGTACACCGTGCCGATTCTCACTTGAGGCTTTGATTTGAAAAGTTTGGAGGCAGTGTTGATGATACTGATGATAGGCCTGAAGGTCGAGGTTTCTTGGCGGTAGTAGGTGCTTGGCTGCTGGTATCTGTACTGGTATTGGTTGTTGTACTGGTTGTAGTACTGGTTGCTGAACTGATAGTTGAAGCCCTGAGTTTCCGCGGAGCTGTCTGGAATGGCGTTCGAGATGTAGCTGTTGCTATTGTCCACCGTCTGGTAAGACGAGGAAGCTGTGTAGCTGGCGGCTGTAACAAAGAACACATAAATTAGATTTATTTGTGGATTTACTAATGAAATAATTTTATGGCCGACGTGTTGGCGTATGATGTTTTTAAGAATTATTTATCTATTTTTGTGAGTAAATTTATTATCATTAACAACAAAACGTAGATACATAAAGAAACAAATATTTACCGCAAAGGCCAGAGTATTTGATGGATTCAGTGAGGCCGTAGTTGGTGCATGATGGGTAGCCCTTCTCGTATGGCTTGGATCCGATGACGTTACCGCCAGGACCGTAGTTGCACACGTAGAGCTTGGTGTAGCCTCGGATGGGGTCGTAGTAGAATGTGAAACCACAGCCTACGTGAGATGTCTCGCCCCAAACCAACTACAGAAAAAGAAATAATGTTACAATCATATTCATTTTCATTCCACGACTAGTTGGAATATAATGTCAACTCAAAGGCTCAATTTAGAAGGCAACAATGAATTAATATATGATTTACAAAATTATATATTCCTCATGTCACATTTAGCGTTAAATTGATATGGAGATTGGCTTCACTATTAAACTGCCGAATTTGAATTGCAAATTACCTGTGAGTAATGTCCAGTGCCGTGCCCTCCGGTGATGGGCTTGAAGCCGTAGACATGTACTTCGTCGAACCAGGCGTTGATTTGCTTGTTGAAGTCAGGTTCAGAGTCAGAGTTCTGGGTGGGTGGGCGAGTTGTCCAGGTGGCTGCAAGGTTCTGACCCACTGGGAAACGGCCATCGTACCGCTGGGCGGCACGGTCGTGAGCAGTGATGCACTGGTCAGACCAGTGCTGAGCGCCCGCGGCCAGCTCGTCATCCCATACCTGCACAACAAAAGATAGACACATCAGCATAATCATCACAGAACACCATTTCCACTTAAAAACCTTTTTAAAGATGTTTATTCTCCCGAAACGCTACAAAGAATCAAGTACCAAACTAAGTGCTACTTCAAACTGTTTTCAAACGGAGTCAATGTACTTTGTTTTGCATATTTGCAACAAACATGTTGTTATGAATTTGCTCCAAATGAAATCATTATCGATGTCCGTGATTTTTTGCTAACTTTTTTGCTATATTTATTTTATCAATTTTATAAAAATAGCAGATTAATATACCTGATATCAAGAATTTTAATTGTATTTATTTTATTTTTTGTAATCTGTATGTTATTCGCATTCCATTTTAGATATCAAAATGTCTGAGGAGATTTAAAATTTGCATTACTTTATTAGATAATAATGTAGCTAGCTGATGTCACGGCTTTAGTGGTTTTATATTTTATGACCCTGCTGAATTAAAATGTGTGGCAAAATGTCAATGAATAATGGTCAAGATCAAGTTCATATTTATATTCATGAATGTTTCTATTTTTGTTAGGTGTTAACTTACCATTTCCATCATGTTAGCTGCTGGTGGTTGGCTGGAGACCTGTCCCAGGGCAACGGATTGCCTGAGGCGATTGTGTGCGTCGACTATAGCTTGCTTCTCGTACGCTGTCAATCCACCAGATCCTAAAAAGAAAAAAATAAAAGTTGTAGAGTCGATTTTTCAGACATTGCAGCGTTGTAACTTGAACTTTATGAAATTTATTTTAGGTATTAAGGGTAGAATATTGCTCGGATGATTTCATAATCCATTGTATTGATCTGATTTATTAGACCGGTGCGTGCTAACACAGGTGTCTGTGTCAATAAAATTTTACGACCTCGACCCATACAAGTATGTAAAATAGGAGCATCTTTTGGGTAAAAACTCGTTCGCAAAATCCAGACTGGGTGGCGGCGATTGGATTGATGGTTTCTTGGTATCATTACGAACACTTTATGAATTTAAATGTGGTTTATATGCTATAAGAGCTTAATGGATGAAATCATAAATTACAAGATATTTTCTGATATATTATTATTAATCCAGATTTAAGTCTAAATATCAATCGCGTTTCTCGAATGTATGGAAACTATTTTATTATCTGAATTTACGAGTTTTATTTAATTAAATATTTAAAAATATAAAAGAACAGATTATGTAGAGAATTAAATTAATAAATTAATATAAACATAGATTCATAAAAAAATAAGAGCAATTTAGAATTGTAAGGATTTGGCAAGTAATAATGAAAATGAATAATATATGAAGTGTAACTTACGTAGCAATTGCTTTCCAGGACCACAGCCTTCTGTTGCTGCGAGGAGACCTCCCAAAACAAACAACACTAAGGATACCATCTTCATCATTTTTAAAGTTTAAAAATTCACAACACTTGGAACTGAAATTCACGCGTAAAGTTGAGATTCGTAACTAAAGATGTATTCACTTATATTTACGAAACTTCAAACTTGTTAATATTTCCCGGTGATCCGTAGCACGACGTGCTGCGCGCTCTCCAGGCTTTAGCGGTCTGTGCGGCCTGCGGCCCACGCGAACGCTTATGTACCCGACGCTGCGTTACCATGGAGACGGAGCGACGCCGGCCGCCCGCTGCGTCTGAGCATAGCCGCTCGCGCCACTCGCTTACTACCACACACGCTCAACACTATACGCCCTTAATTTGTAATATAAAAATTATATTTGGCATATTAGGGTAATTAAACACCCTGTTTAATTTACTGAAATGGTTAGTTGCCTCGATTGGTGGACAAAGATGGGAAGGTCTATTCTTCGATCGTCTAGAGTGTTCAGTTACGAAATAAAGAAAGGTTACACGTACGTCGGTCAGCTACTTTTTATCTGCAGTAATAATTTAAAACTCATTATGCTGCAGACTGTTGTTGTCAATGAAATCGAGTTCTTGTGATGTGTCCGAGCCGAACGTGGAAATATGTTGACAGATATTGGTCGGAACGGAAGTGGTCTTTAAGCGAAATTATACGCAGCTAAAAACAAGGAAAGAATAATCTGTAATCACCCTTTTTTATGTCAAAGGCTACTTAATTTTACATTTTTGGGATGCATAAGAATAATTTAACTGACAAAAATTAAGGATGGCCATTTATTTAAAACGCTCCGATAGGAAATCAATTGTTTCGTCGGTGAAATGCAGAAAATGTTAAAAGCCTAACCGTAGCCATGAAATAAAGTTTTGAGAATTTTCACATGACATTAAAATTCAATCTGTTCATTTATTATAATGGGTTACAACATAATTTAAGGCCCATTTGCGAAAAGATGTTTAAAATTAACATTTGGTTCATTAATATAATTTTTCGTTTATGGTTTCTGATAGTGAAATGTATCCATATATTTAGGTAAAATTACAATTTGCCTAATGAAACGACGAAGGTGGGTCGTTAATTAGAGCCAGAATTTGACCAAAAAGTTTAAGGTGACATGTTGTCTGTTGGCAACCGATCCGGTTTACCACCTGAGGTGAATTTTCGCTCGGTGCTTCTTTATTTGCATATTAATGACCTTTATTTTATTGACTTTTTATTTTACGAGATTTTATACAAGCTTAGGATTATTATATTTTTAATTAAATTTATAAGTAGATGATACAATTTTACCGAGTCTTGAACGGATTAAAGGTTCATTGAATATATTATGTTTTTTTTTATATTTAGTTAGCGTAACGACTTTTAATATTAATTATGTACACAAATATCGTGTTTCATTAATTATTTTTCTTTGACATATAGGTAAACTTTGAATAATTTTATAAACAAGAGTATTGAGTTACTGAATTTGAATTAATTTATGTATTTTTATTAATTCACGTGTTAATAACTTATGTGATCAAAAAACAAATACAGAAAGATTTTAGTAAAAATATTAATATTAATTTCCAAAAGAAATGAAAGATAAGTAAATTAAAATTTTAAATTAATTATATTTATATTCTAGGATTACATTTCAGTCAAGATTATTTAAACGACAAATATTAGGTATATATCGACTAGGCATACTTTCAAGTTTATTTTTAGAATGAAATAAATTAAATTAAATTCTTTAGGTGATAATCCCTATAGAATCATTTAAATATGAATAAATTATACACAAAATTATATTTATTTATGGCATATGCCATTGGTATAAATATATAAATAGCACCATGAATTCTTTTAATACTTACTTGTCAAATTATAAAAGTATTTGAATTGAATTTTGCACAGGTGAACAGAAATTAGCAAGTCTAAACGGTGTCAAGTGTAAGACCTTGGCAGTGGACTTTCTTGACCTGGCTCAATAGGACTTCTGATATTAGGTAATTGAATTGCCATTTCAGTTCTTGTTGCCAGGATGTTATGAACGTCCCGGGGTGAATCTGTAGATGATGTGATTGTGTGTGCATTTATTATTTGTTTTTTAACTAAATGTGAATTTGTCTACAGGACAGGTATCGACTGATCATTCTATTGAGGCTTATAAATTTAAATTGTAAAAAGTTACTATTCACGCCTTCTCATGTTTTTTTTTTATAATTTTAAAATTAAATACTAAATAAAGGTTTTCAGTTTTTATGCCAAAATTATAAAAATAAAGATTAAAATGTTTTTAGTATCTCCAAATAGTGATTTATAGTTATATTGTTTAACAAAACGATACTAAAATGTAGCAAAAATATCAATGTCACGTAGGTATCAATCAAACACCTTGAAAGCGCCTCATGTGACTTTTGATCTTTACAAAATACACAGAAAAAGTTTTACTATTGTTATAGATATACGTAAAATAAAAATTTCTGTAGACTTTTTATTCTGTTTGTACTTATCTGAGACCTTCTTAAAAATCAGTGTCACTTTTTCACTCACTGTGCATGAAGTTTATGATTAGTAAAAGGGATCAAATTGCCAAAAAAATGTGTTAATTTATTTGCACTACAGTGTATCCTTACAACAATTATACTTTAAGTGCACTTAAGTATAATAGCAAAAACCTAATTCACCCTATTTTCAATTTAGACAGATGCAGGTAGTTATTTTTTGATGGTAATTTTGTTTATTAATTTATATGCAAACTGCAGTAAATAGTACTTGAGATTGAGTTAGAGCGTTAAACCTGTAACGTACCCGTTTTATCTTTGATAGTAATAACCCATTAAATTCTGTCGAACCCATCTTGAAAGTCAGAGCCAGTTCGTTTGACCTTTAAATAAATAACCTTATTAATATCATTACAGAGAAAACCGTCGTAGTCCACCATCCGATAGATGAAATTGTATGATAATTTATTTGTATCAATTTAACCCTTTGAGTACCGTCATTATAGATACAATTAAAGAACAATAGGTTGCGGTCACCGGTATCCTCACGGTGTTTGACAGTTTAAGTACATCGATGTTTTGAAGGTAAAGACCGTACGCTAATAGTGGATTTTGTCTGTAGGCTTTTTATTGATTGAGTAGGATGGGTATTGTCAGTCGTGTAAAGTCATAATGAATACACATTTTGTAGTGAATCACAATGTGTCAAAATAATCACAGTTTACTTTTGGTTATATAATGACTTGCATGTTGGGTTACCAAATATTATCGATTTTTACATCATCTAGAAAAATATTTTTTTAATATTTGTACTAGGTATTCATCATTCAGTAATATATCACATAATATATCAAGTTCAATTAGTCACGAAAACTTGTAGTCTAAATAGAAATTTTATAACTACCCTCCAAAATAAATGTTTTATAAAAAACTTTAAGGAAAATGAATCATTGAATAATTTGATCACAGAGGCTGGGCGACTACGAAGAAGTGACTTTCTGACGCTGATGTATTGTTGCTGGGCCGGCTCCGCGCTGGCAGACAAAGCGTCGGCCGGCTCAGCCGGTATCATTGCATGAATCAAACACTTGTACTACGTACTCGTAATTGTTTATTGCAATGAATCCAATGTCAAAACAGGTGATTCGACGTATGCATCTCGATTTCCGTATATTGTGAAGTCAGTTAACGAAAGTATTGTTCGTGTATCAAAACTTAAACAAGTAAGCATTTTGTTCAAGGATCCAATGTAACTCATAGTGTTTTTGCACATAATCAACGAAGGTCATTAAAATTTAATCAATAAAGTTATTCAGATTGCGGTTTCATGTAAATCTGAGCTAAGATAATTAATTTCTATACTATACTTACGTTTTATTGCTAAGTAAACACTCGTCTACATGTTAGGTAATCCGTAGTGACCGTACCAATATTGGCGTTCTTTAGAATATTAAGGAGCTTAGCTATCATGATACCAGACGCCTACCAAAATTATGTGTACAATTGTAGTCTTTATTAGTTTGACATAAAGATGATAAGCGTCTGCAGGGGCAGGTTTTTATTCAATGAACAGGTAAAATAGCTGCGTATGTTTGTTCTACCTAAGTTTGCTCTTAAACAACACAGTACATCCTGTTAACATATTTAAATTAATAAAAACTGCTATATAGTTATTATTATGAAATTAAGAAGGTACGGATAACTCATTGCTATTTTATTAAAGTTTTGGTCAACATTGAAATATAAAAAAGTCGAAATAATTTTTGTATTGTAAATATTTTGTGTACAATAAAACTGTAAAATGCATAATACAAAGTATTTAATTTAGGCACAAAATGTCATTTGATTCACGTTAAACCATTTCATTATTTTAAATCATCTACGAGTTCTACAGTATTTCAAGCTTCCCTATTGCATTGTACTGATTTACTTTATAAATGCTACAATTATCGTCATAAAACCAGCTAATTGATAGGAAGACCTCTGTGGTTTGTCAAGTCGATTCTCACGACTAAAGGTGAACGCCGATGGGACCAAATGTGGACGGCATTGCGGTCGACCACGACCACAAATTTTACCAAGAAATTCCATAAGTGAGTGCTAAAACTGTTTCCGTTTGAGTCAATTAGGGATGTATAATACTGTATAATTTATCGTTTATACTGATGAATGCTGATGAAAGTGTGTTAGACTTGTTACTAGTGTGGTTTCAAAGAATTACATATAGCTTTTAATCGATATGAAAATAATGCTGCATGATATCGTGGGATCATCCTTGATCTCTGAAACAAGAGAATCAGTGAAATAACTGTTTCAAGTAGCTTATGAAAAAGAGAAACGTCAATATTTTTCTTCCATAAGTTACCGGGAATTGTCTAAACAATATCTAACAAGGACTCTATTTTCTTTCGCTATTTTCTTATTTGTTACACATCGACTAACGATATAAAGTAATACCTATTAATATAATATTAATTTATTCGATGGCAGATTGCATTACTAACACTCATAATCAGGTCTTAATTCATTATACTA